GTCTTCATTGTATTAAATTGCAAGCAATAATGCACTTGACCAGGCGTGTTCATCAGTCAGAGAGAAATATTATTCGCGGTTAACGGAGTCCCGGTTGCATACATTTTATAATAATATCGTGTTTACGTTAAACACGTGATCGTCGATTCAAGCAGCTCCCCCTCTCTCGACTTTCCGTCTCGTTCGCACTGCCGCAATCGCGCATACCGTGTCTCCGTCCCTCTTTACATTCGGAAAATTTAACGCGAGCTTCGTTTTTGAACTGGTAACACGTTGCCGGTGCACAACTCGTGTATCGTATAAATTTTATTCGTCAATGAGTGTAATTTGACCTTGTGAGAAGATACGAATTTCCTGAGTTGGAGATTTTAAATTTTTAAAAAAAGATTCTATCTAATTTTTGTTTAGAGTTTAATGTTACGATCAATCGTGTTTGCATTATTTTCTTCTTGATGACTTTCTTCTTCTCGTATAATAATGATATTAGATTAAAAAATGTTAGGAAAATATAATTTGTAATAATTCTAATACTGATTGATAATATTTTGCAAGTTAATTAATTACATTGATAAGAAAATTGGTGATGAAATAAATAAATTTGCAAGCTAATAAATGATAAAAGATAAATTTGATATAATTTGTTAATTCACTAATATAATTAGTAGGATTATTATAAAAGAGACGATTATCAATGAGAGGGTTAAAGAATTTCGAAAACGAATATGAAGTTAAAATGTTAAACTTCCATAAAATTATAATATATAAATTCATTATTATAAAATCAGATTTACGATATTTTCATTGAAATTAATTATAATATTGATTTAAATAAATACAATTAATGAGGTATAAATTTATCAATCTATCGTACATTTCCTCTATCAGATCGTCAATTTGTATTAAAAATACATGTAAATCTTAATATATAACGATCTTATGGATACCATGAAAAAAAAAATTAATGAATATGTAATGAAAGCGATAAGCGATATCAGCGCGCGATTTGAAATTTTTTAAGGTGAAATTGGTGACTGCGTTCCCAACACCGGCGTAAATATGTTCCATGATAAAATTTTAATAATACAAATGATATTGAATTCCATAAATGATTTTGTAAATCCTTTATGATCGTGCAAATAATAAATTTCGTTACTTTGTAACTTTCGACGATGCGTTTTATTTTATAATGTTTTTTTCCGTTTACCAACCGTGTTTTCCAAACCTCTCGATATCGCTCTTTTTAATTTCGTAAAAATCCTATCTGATCTTGCGATATTGCTCGACGTTTTTAACGAAAAATTCCATTTACGATTTAAAATTGGAAATGAGAACGAAAACATATCCTAATTAATTCGATTTCAAACGAAAAACATTTGAAAGCCAACTCTAAATATTTATTTCATTTCAACATCGTTCAATTGTTTCTATCGTCTTGTTTCTTCTAATACATTCTTAATGCCCCGCAAACTATTGTTTTGATCCATCGATATAGAATCTTTCCTATGTAATATTTTGCAATCAAATAAATACAATTTTTTAATTAAAAAAAATTTCCTGATATACTATCAAATATATAGAAAATATAACTTTTAAATAGGATATATTTATTATGGAAGTTTCATATTTTTACAACAATTTTATGATCATAATAAAAAAATGAATATTTTGCAATGTTAATTTAAATTTTATTAAACTTTCTATTCTTACACTATTAAAAAAACTATTTTCTTTTCTGTACATGTCTATTTAACCATATTACTTTCTATATTCTCTTCGCTTTAATTCGATACAAGTTTAACATTCTCTAAAAAGAAAATATCTCACGTTTAAATTTCATTTTTTTTTTTCATCATATTGAATACACTTAACTTAAAATCATTATTTAATTCTAAATATATCATAGAAAATACCTATATTCAATCACGTAATTGCATTCATTCTCTCATTACCGAATATATCTCTTATTGCACGAATTTTTCTTTCTTATAAATATCCTGCCACTTGTTGCAGCGTTGCCGGGAAATCAAAAAGAATCATTTTCCAAATAACAAGCTTGGAAAAAGCAATTTCAGCCACGATGAAGGAGCCACGTTGCACTCGATTTAACGCCTTGAAACATTCAGCTTGCAAGTTTATCGGCTGCGTGTTTTCGTGCCGAGTGAAGCGTTCGATTGCACGGAAATAATTTTTAGCCCCAGAGAAGCACGGGACGGAATCGAAGGGGGAGAGGAAGGAAGCGACGACAGCAATAAAAAAAGAAAGGAAAGAGAGAGGGAGGGGGTGGGAAGAAAAAAAGGGAGAAAGGGAAAAAGGAAAAAAAAAGGAGAGAAAGAAGGTAATAGCGGTTAACGGATTTACCGGGTTCCCAAAAAATAAGCGCGCGAGGAGGTTCCTCTCTCTTTCCCTCGGGGAACGACAATTGAATCAATTTACAGGGCGGTTTTGATAGGCCGTACGACATGTGAACGCGTTACACGGCAGGTGTTTTGAAATATTACGCCGGTGTTACGCCAATTATCGTCGACAGGCTGCGGAAAAAAAATGCGATCGACAATTACGACCAACGTCAGATCGCGATATTTTTCGGGTGTACGGATTGTGGGGCCGATATGGATTGAAAGGTATCAGGGAAATACACTTGTTTAAGTATTTCGTAATTAAATTCGTAAAATTGATGTAATGTTAACACGAATTAAAAGTACATAAATCTTTTGTAGAGTCAAATGTGAATGTGTATCTTGAAGAATTTGTTCAATAAATTTTATTATTAGCGTGTTGCACAGTTTGGAATTAGTATGAACTTTTGTAGGAATACGAAAATTAATGGAGAAAAATAAAAGAGGATATGTTATTTGAAAGATCGAGATATCAAAATCAAGCATAAAGATATTGAGACGTATTCGTTTATTTGCAAGGTTTTTATTAAATGAAATGAGACATCTTTATCTTCGTCTCGCATTGTAAAAATTATACATGAGCAATATAGAAGGCAAATTGATCGACCTCATTACCATAAACGTAAAATATCGTTTGAAGAGATGAAGCGAGTTCAAAAGTTATATTATCTAAAAATACTTTTCTCATATTCACGAACAAACAATCCTTTGTAACCACAAAAGTTCCAACTAACTTGTTTCATAATACCTCATTTTATTTAGGGAATATTCATTTGTTATAGCTTATGTGCTCTTATATGCATAATTGACCCTTCGTATAATGATATCGATATAATGTTTCAACGTGGTTACAGTTATTTTGATTAAAGTTTTTTTCTTCTTTAATCTTAATCCTAATCAAGAATTCATTTTGTCAATTAATTTAAGCCTTATTTGCAAGCTTTGCATTCGTGCCTGAAGATTTTATTCATCGGTTTGAATATTTTTGTATCGAAATTTTATCTTTAAAAGAGATACGGTTAAATATAATATGATTACAGCAGCATAAAATAATTATTTCATAGTTAAACATTAATTACTCGCAACTCTTAATTAGAATTTGCAATATAATATTAATCAATAAATACAAATAAATGCGACTGTTTATTCCGCTTATTTTAATGAAAGCGGTGATTCTGAAAGTCCATCTCTTGACACATACGTTGACGCATACTCTCATTCATTCAAAGCTTCAACCTAATAATAAATAAATATGCATAATAAATAAACATAAATATGATATCTCGCATTAATTTTACACTTCTTCCCTATATCTTCTACGAGAATATAGAAATATCATTTACATTTTATCACTATTATTATTCATTTATTTCATTTCAAGATTAAAATGTATGGGGTTTAATAACGAAACATTTTATTCGATCAATTAGATCTATCAAAATAATATGTTTTGTAAAACAATAAGCAAAACGATCAAAGCGACAAAATTGATTAAGGATTATACGATATAATTTATTGGATTAAGAGGAGAAAGAGAGTAAATAATTATTAAATAACAGAAAGAGATTATTAGAAGTATAATAATAATCGGGATAAGGGTAAAAGTAAAATTTTTATTTCGATTTAATAGAAATAAAAATTTGTCGAACACATAGAACTCTTACATCAAGTTCCAATATTATCCTGGTTAACAATAAACAGAATAATGAGTACACAACGTCGCACAAAATTCAATCATACAAATTAACTGCTTGCATCAATTTCGTTTACTTTGTAACCCAGTCGAACTGGACGATTCGATCGAACGATTGGACGAAAACGCCAAGTGTTTGTTATACTTTCAAATTATACTATCGAGGAATTAATGACGTACCCGGAAACAAGATATAAAAGTTTGATTTCGAAAATACCGATCGTGATATAGGAGCACGAACTCGAAATCTGTTTTACAACAATCGATAACGATTTTCGCGATTATCTTCGATTATTCCACGTGTTTCTAATTTATGTACATTATATGGAATTTTAAACATGTAAACATTATTTCTCCAAATGCATTATTATATTATTATAATAATTATTATTTATCATTATATTATTATTTATTAATTAGAATTATAATTGTATTATTATATCTACTATTATCAATTTATTTTATTATAATTATTGTATTATTAAGAATATATAAATATACATAAATAATATATGTTAGAAATCATATAAATAAAATACAATAAATTATATTATAGATATATTAATTATTTTACGTATTATTAAACATTGACGATATTCAAAAAAATAATAACAGTATATAAGAGGATCTTACGTATCACTTCTCTATTTGGACTTACCTTGTATTTATCTTATTTGTGGAAAAAAAGAAATTATTGTTTCATTGAACTGTTCTATTGAGATAAGAAACGACAGGGGGTTTGGTATTTTTTTTCAAGATTCCTAGAAACAGGGAGATACGAGCAATTTGTTTATTTCATAAGTTTATCTTGTGGTTGGATTTTGATAAAATAGTATCAGCGACGATCAAAAAAAAAAGAAAAAATAATCCGATGAATCAAGATGTTTCGTCAAAAAATAGAAAAAAATATTATCTTCTGATTTGCCGATCGTATAAATACCCAATGTTACAACGAAGATGATCAGAAAACTGCAAGGTATGTAAAAGTGATCGAAAAAGGTAAGTCATTTTTCCACAAACGAATTCAATCTCTCTGATGACTTTTTTATGATATCCTTGCTACAATTTTTTATAGATATTTTACAATTTTTACATTTTCGAGATCATACATTAAAATGAGAACACTGTTTGTAATTCTGGCCATTTGCTTCGCGATGATTCCATTAATCATGGGTTGCAAACCACCTGGTTTACTAGTAAGTAATCTTTCAACAATAACAATTAAATTTTAAGAATATCGATTTTTTTAAATGGAATATAATTGTTGGTATAATTCGCATTTTGTTATTAATATTGAACTAGTGAGAAATGGATGCAAAATGGATTTACTTAAAATTCAAATGACATTTCCGTTCTTCAATCATTTTCGATATATCCAATGATGACTGGCTCCAATTAAATTTTCATAATTCTCAATGAATTTCAGTTTTGGATTAATACTTATACACCGTTTCTGTTAAATATAAATAAGATTATTATTCAAACATTGTTTCGTTCAAATTTCCTCTAATCGATTTATAATAATATTTTATTTGAGAACCAAAAAAAAAAAAAAAAATAACAATTCGAAGTAATCAATTATTTTAATTATTATATAAAGATAGAATAACGCAAAAAGAATATTTACTTCATATAATACACCGTGTAAAAGTATATAATGATAATAAGTACTCTTTTAATTGAAAATGTTTCATTCAGTTGAAAATGTTGACACAATATAATCATTATTGTATTAACTTTTATGCAAATACAAAATAATATCTATAAGATAAAAGAATTGCTACGTAGCCGGATAGAATTATATCCATGTAATAAATATTCATCGTTCAAACTTTTTCTTAAAATAATGTCCAATACCTATACACACAATTCCGACCAACGTGTGTATAACAACTTTTTAAACGTAATCCGATACGTTATTTAAATTGCAAACGATCGAGAGAGAAAGAGAGAGTAAAGAGAGGGTAAGAGAGAGAAGGTATAAATACATTTTCAATCCTGCTATATGGCGCGCAATTTAGTGATAGACTCGTCGTACATTTGTTTACAAAGCGACGAATCCCTGTGCGACGTCCGATAATTTTTCGAAATTTTTCGCGACACGTCGACCGGCCCTTTTCGTGCGCACGTGAATGGCTAATCATCGGGTGTAATTTGCCGTAGTGCTCCGACGACAAAGACTGCTGTGGACCGTTAGTATGCAACCCATGGGCTGGACGATGCACCAAGAAAATGAGTCCACCGGTACCACCGCCGGGCTGGGGAAATCAGCCAGAAGATTCAACCGCGTCACCTGTCCAGGCCCAATGAATCAGCGATGGATCGATATCAATGTTATCTCATAGCCCTAGAAATCTAGTTAGAGTGGTATTCGTTAAATTGAAATCTTAAAACTTTCCTTGTATATATATATATATATATATTTATATATGCACGTTCTGTTATAATGATATTATGTTTAACATAATATTTATCTGATCAAAAATTTGGAATCATTTCTGTTTTCAACATCGAATATTATTTATTAGTTTTCGATTGAAAATTATAGTTGATCATTATATTATATAGACTTCTTGTGAATATATGATTTATTTGTAGATAATGGAATTTTAATAGGATTCTTTCTTTCATTTTTTTTTTTTATTTTAAAAGCTCTCAAGTGATGATAAAGTGAGGAATTGATATGATACATTGGTTTATAGTTTGTAACTATATAGTAGTTTGAGTAAAGTGTTCTTTCAATATTTAATGATAATATCGACTTTTTAAGTTGTGTATATTTTTTCTTTTAAGCTAATCTTTTAACATATCTAGATGATTGTTAGGAAAGTATTATATTTAATAGGAATTACTACATTTTAAATTTCTATACATATATTTACATTATATTTTGATGATACATTCATGAAAATCAAGAATAATTTTTCTACTCTTTTTTCTTTTAAAATTTTAAATATAAATATTTTATTAAATTTCATTAAATAACAAACTTTTCCAAATTTTTGGCCTGTAACATATCCATAGGTAATTACAATAGAAAATAAATAGATGCAAAAAGTTTTCCTGTCTATAAATTTTCTTTCTATTCAATGAAAAAAATATGAAAATTTTAAATAGATTTAAGATATTAAGATAACAGATTAATAATTTATAATATGTTAAATAAATAATTGGTAAATAAGCAAATAAGAGTCACTGAGAGTGATGACATATTGAAATTTGTTATCCATTGATCGAATCGGACCGCATCCATTTATCAACAGTTGCCTGATCAATTTCGAAAGAGTATGCACACATAACGTTATGGTTAAATTTAAGTTTGTATGTTATCGTGTGAATTGAAATATACGCAATTTAGAGAGTCGCATTAGTAAATGATAAAGCGGAGGAAGGTTCACGGGCAACCACATTTTCCAATGAAACATAATATGAATTATTTATCGTTTGACAAATATTGTTTAATTTCTTTGCTTTATTGACAGAGTTCTTTTTACTAAATATAATCTTTATTTGCCGTAATTGATTTACAGGAAAACCTTTACACAAAAAGTGTTTTTAATTCGATAATAAACACATCGATTAAATGTAAATATTTTAGTGATTTATTTGATGCAGAGTTGGAAAACTTTAAAAGATCAGTGAAATAAAATAAAACATAATTTATATGTATAGTAAAGAAGTAAAGAAGATTTAAGGGATAAAAAAAAAAGATCCAAATTTAGAATTATATTCTTAAAATAATATATAAAATTATTTTCAATTTACCTAAAAATTTTAATTCAAGTCCTGAAAAAATCTTTCATTTATATTTCAAAAAAATTACTTTAAAATTACAATTGTTTATTGAATTTGTGCAACAGAATATAATGAAAAATACATTCAAGACAATTTCTAAGTTTTATAATTTTTTTTTGAGATATATTATATTACAGAAAGCTAGAAATTACTTAATCCTAACATCAATAATCTCATTTTCATTAGGAATAATGCTAAATTGCAATTTTAATAAAATATAGAATTTCAAAGCACATTAAAGTGAAAGAAAATGATTTGAACAAATATTTTAATTCTGCAAGAAATTTTAAATTTGCATTATATCTATTTTCTCGCTCTGAAAGGTATTGAATCTCTGTCCTGTGAAATATAATTATTAAATTTTTGAGGAATAATCGCAGAACCCGCTGAGCCATACGTAATAGAAGTAATGTTTCAATTTCACTGCACATTTTGTATTGCACAAGTATAACAGCAAAAACGAATGTAATGGTGAATTTTTATGAGCTATGCGCAATCGGATGGAATTCAACATGAAATATGAGAAAAGTTTGCAGTTATGTTCACAATGCTCTTGTTATATTTTTCTATTAGATTTCTCTATAAAAATATATATAATTAGCACAAAATGCTCATATACGTTCATATAAGGAGAATAAACATAAAAAATAATTTATGATTTGCTTATTAATTTAATTATAACTTTGTTCATTCTATTTCTCCATAGTTTGTTTATTAATTTAACTCTATTTCTTCGAATATACAGATCATTCTATAGTATAATCAGTAAGAGGATAATTCTATGTAAAAAGAAAAAAAAGTAAAAGAAAAGAAAAAGAATTAAATTTCTTTCATATGAAGCTTTTTTTGTTTTTGAATAAACTGAGTTTGGAAAATTTTCAAGTACAAATAAATTCTGATTAGATATTCAGAAATAGTAATGATATATATTTATTTTTATCATATTTATGACTACTAAGAATTACTCATAAACAAATGTATTGGAATTGTTTTAGAAATACATGAAAACTGTTCAAAAGTCAGTATCGTTATTTTATATTCTTATAAATCTTTAAATGAAATAAAAATCTATTGCTTCTATTTATATCATTAATTTTAAAATTTTATCTTAAAATAAAATAAATTTATTTTGTTTAAAAAAATGATCTATATTCACAATTGATTGGATTAAAATGATATATCTACTTATGTTTTAAACTTTAATCTTACGATAACAAGATATTTAAATAACTTTGTCAATAATGTGAAGATAAGAAAATATCGATAATTTATATCACGATATTTAATATTCTCTACGTTATAACAAAAATAAAAATAGTTTTTGCATTTTTTTAATCCTTGTAATACTATTATACATATAATAATAATTAGTTAATTTAATTGTTACTAATGAAAAATATAATTATTCAATTAATGATTTAACAATTCTGTATATTAATTGATATGTAAATATGCACAAATGAAGAATAAATATTTTTTTGCTTAGTCTTAATCTTTTTATTTTTAAATATATATCTATAATAAGAATAATATCATTTTAATAACAATTCACTTGTAAAAATTTATCTACATTTTATACATATTATTATAATCAAAAAAAGAGTCTTTGCATAAATTAAAATAATGTAAAAATAAATTTAAAACATATATATATATATTACTTGTTTTAGCGTTAAAACTCTTCTCTTTAACAATTCACATAGACGAAAGGTACACACGATGCGCGAAGCTTTTCAAAAATGATGAAAGGACACGGTACACTTATGGTCTGTACACTAAATACAAAACTTGGCAAGGTTGATTTAATTATGAGCGCCTATAATTAAAGACACGTTGTTGCTTTACGCATAGTGTAGTAACCACGAAATAATATATCGTATATAAATAATAAAAAAAAAATACACTAAATTTTTCTTTTTGCCAAGAAAGAGAAACTTACATATTCTTCCACAGGCATTGCCATGGAGAAGATCAAAGCTTTCAAATGACATAAGCTTCCTTCCAACTTGTCAAAACTCGTCAAAACTCCATCGCGACGATAAGTGAACGAAATTGAAATAATAATAATAAAAAAAAACGACGAAATACATAAAAAATTGTAAATTTCGATATCACAACGCACAGTCGTATCGTATGGTGATATTTTGGAAAACAGAGTTATCATAGAGAAAGAGAGGGAAAGAGAGAAATCCACGGCGGATCGTGGTACGTGGCGAAATTCAGTGACACTAAAGGGAAAAAGAAAAAAAGGAGAGAGAGAGAGAGTGAGATAGAGAGAAAGAGAGAGAGAGAGAAAGAGAGAGAGGAAAGGAAAAGAGAAATAATCGACGTTTTCACTTGGCTACCGTCTACGGATAAAAGGACAATATTACCGGATGATTCGGTTTTCTTTCCTGTTGTTTCCTATTAAGCGAATTAAAGAACAAGAGGGCTTTGTTGGCAGATCAATGGAATGTATAAAGCCTGCAATATGCAGTCGATGGAATATCGGTGCAGAAAGCAAAAAGTGCTCGACCATTTCATAGCGACGAATGGAAAAAGAATGTTCGCGGTGGCCGCCTCTTTTCAATTGTTATACAGTTTAGAGTATAATCGGAGTGAATTATAATTGCGATGAAAATAGTACATCAGGTTTTGACTTTCTCTCGAATGTATCGAGAGTTTTGATGCAGGAGTATTATATTTATTTCGTAGAGGAAAATAAACGGGCCCAAAAAACGATTTACAGATTTGCTATAATTCAACATATTGCCATCCTTTTTTCCCCTCTATCTCCTCTCCCCTTTCTCCCCTCGCCCTCTATTTACTTTATATTAAAACAAAAGATGAGAGATACGTATAGCAGCAGAATGTTTGAGGTCTAGTACAAGGATCAAAGGTGAGGTTTCATTGCTTACGCTCACACAGTTTATCGTGAAATTGGAAAATGAAATTTGCAAGCAACAAAGACATCAGATTTCTCTACTTTATCGACTTCCGTGTTATTTTTATTCATGCCGCGTTAGGAATTTATATATTCTCTAAACGTTATCCATTCGATTTTTTTCCTTCTCGTTTTTTCTTTTCTTTTCTTTTTTTTTTTTTTTTTT